CAAGTGTCTGCAGGGAGGCCATCCCCTCTTACTCAAGATTTCGGTATGTGTCCCACAGAAAGGCAAACAAAAATAAAGTGTATTGCTTCAGTTTTACACCATGTTGACATAAATCTTCTCTCCATGTGAATTACGGCGAAACAGTGCACAGCTACTGAGCTGCTGCACTTGTGCTGCAGATGGGCTTTGTCTGTACGTGCTTTGGCAGACAAACCTGTTGCTCATTTGGATTTCATATAGAAGAAAAGTGAGTTTGCTGCTTGGTTGGGTTTTTTTAGGCTTGTTTTTAGTGTACCTCGCTGGCTTGCATTTATAGATGTCTAATTATTTTTTGTGCATTCATTTCTGTATTTTATATTTGCATTTTTGCTACACCATTTATTTCTCAAAGCCAGGGTGATCAAAAAAGAAACACTGGGCAGGAACAATAAGGAGAGGGATCTAACAAAGACTCTTTGTGCAATTAAAAACACCATGCCAGGTGTAACTGGCAGGTCTTCAGAACACAGCACAAGTTCTTCTAAGTTCAAGTTATGATTTAGGCTGAAGAAGTCTGGTATTGAAAAAAGTCCTCCCCTTCCCCAATAGGTAGTTGGTTTTTTATTTAAAGACATTTCTTGAGTGTATTATGGTTGCTTTCTACCTGCACCAACTTGAAAGAACAGTGCTGATCTATTTAAATCTGTATGAAATCCTAAGCATCTCTTTTGCCCCCTAAATTGCAACTGATCTGATATTCATAGATCAGAAAGAGTGTTTTGGAGTGGAGGGATTTGACCTGCCTGGCCACCTATGGAGTTGCTGCATCTTCCAGTGGCCTGAGCTCGGGCCTCAGCTGAGCTCTAGAAGCTGCCCATGAGTGCTCTCCTAGCCCCAGTAACTGGGAGGTAAATTTCCTCTTCTTGAACTACCTCTGTCTGGGAGGAGTCAGTCTGCAGACTGACTGCCTGGCAGCATTTTAGGGATAAAGCAAGGGCAATATTTTATCCTAAGAACTCACTCTCAGGCTCAGCATAGAGATTTCTGTGTCTGCTTTGCTCCTAGGAGGATAATATTTCCTAGAGCAGACTTTTCTCTTTCTACTTTTGACATCTTTAGCAAGAGCTTCCTTAACATATTATGTTTAGTCTGAAACCAGTATAAAACATGTATTTTTCATCTTCTCTTTGCATTTCCCCTTTGTGTTCCTTTTATCTATCACTAAATGATGACCATGTATCTTTTGCAGCATGACTCATGGCAGAGATTTAGAGCTGCCTCTCCAAAACCTCAATAAACGCACGGAGCAGCTGTTGTTATAACCCAACTCACTGCCATGTTACTGCAAACAGATGCAGGTTAATTAGAATTTAAAATGTTTATCCTGTTATTGTTTGCATTTCTGAAGATTTTCAGCAGCTGTAGGACCCTGAGTGACTCCCTCCCCTCTCACACAGCGTATTTATTTTCTGGGTTCAACATGCCCTGCTCGGTGTCTCCGGCATCGCTGCGGTGTCCCATGCAGAGCAGGAGGTGGGCTGGGGTGACAGCAGCTCTGCGCCAGGTGGAAGCAATTATGGGAAAAAAACATGGTCCTTGCTGGATGACTTACTGCTGATAGCTGCCAGATAAGCTAACTTAATAAAGCAGTGGCTTAATTAAGCCGCATTCCTCCCATCTTGCCTCTCGTCCTGCCTGTCTGAAGCGATGCTATCAAGCAGTTACTGCTTTGCAGAATGGGGCAGGGGTGCTGTGCTGATGCACCCTTCTGTGTTCTGGGCACTCTGGGAGGGGGCTATGGGTGATGGGACACAGGGGAGCTCCTGGGAAACTCACGTCCTCTCTCAGTTTGCAAGGTAATAGGCCACAAATCCTGAAAAAAAAGACAAATCTGCCACTGTCTGCCGCAGATCTGCCTAGTCACAGGTATATTTATTTATTGGTATCAAAAGTTTGACCCTAAATCCCATTTTCTGGCATTTAGTCTTCTAGAAACATCTCAAACTCCAGAGCAGAGGGTAGGAGCACAATGTCTCCCTCTTTCTCCAGCAGGTACCCGCCAGAAAAAATAAGGGGTGACTTGGTTTTGGGGGTGTCCCTATCATTACGGATTTTCTTACAACCACAAAAGCTGAATGTTGGATTAAAAAAATCATGGTGCCCCAAACCCTCTGTCAGTTTGGGGTTGCTCTTATTCCTGAGAAAAGATTGCAGAGAATCAAAAGTTACTGCATTTTTAATTGCTGAAATACCCCATTTAAAGCTGCAACGGATAAAAGTCTGCCAGAAGCTTCATCTTTTGTAAATCAGATTTCAGGTTAACAAATCAACCTAATTTCCCCAGGGCTCCAGGTTTTAGTGGTGGAGCTTCAAACCCACAGCCATGTGTTTGTGTTTCGTGCATGGCCACATGTACAGCTGCATAGCAACCACCTTGCTGAAAGTTATCCAGTAGCTAAAATTATCAGTAGGAACCCCTTCTTACCTCTCATTATGTACAACGAGATTGCTGCTGTGCAACGTTGATTAGACATGTCAGCCTGGACGTCTGAAAATGAGTGTTGCTATTAAAATGCCTTTGCTAATGCTCATGTGTCCATCATTTTGACAGATTTCACTTTAAGAATGTAGAAAGCTAAAGCATGCAGGAATCCCAGGGTTGCAATGTAATGTTCAGAGAAAAAGGTATTGTATTGTATTTCCTTTGCATTAACCCTAAAGTAGCAGTTTCCCTGGCGAAATCATGCTGATAAGGGTGCTGTGGAGTACAGGCTGCACTAATGCAGAGATCTGTAACTTTCAACTGGGAAGAGATTATCATGTGGAATGTGGTCTGAATTCATGGCATCCCTCTTCTAAACACTCCTTTAAGTATAATTTAAAACTTCCACAATGCAGAAAAATCTTCACACATTTAGAGAATATTTCAAAATCCCCTTATCAGTAAGGCTTGGGAAAATTCCAACAAAAATTTGAGAGAGATGCTGAAAACCATCTCATCCCACTGTGGAACCCATTGCAGCAAGAAACTGCTGAAGGGAGGGATTTCAGCAAACACTTGGATATCAGCCATGGGAACATGATTTTCTGGTTGTTTTAAGTGAAAGCTAAAGCACAAGGCTGTGCAATATAAGGGTGCCAGGGCAGCATTTAATGGCTGAAACTTGGCATGTGATGGGTTCTCAATGTATGGCTGTGGGAGAAGGGTTTGATCAGGGCAACTAGTTTGGCTTTTGGGAGAATCCAGCCAGGCAAATAAAACCTCACTTAAGCCACAAGAAAGCCAATGAATCCAGCCAAAAGCCATGACCAGACAAGCTGAGAGCAGAGAGGCAGCTCCTGCAAGGTCCCAGCAGGTGACCCCTTACCCAGGAGCCGGTTATCACATCATCTGCTGACACAGGTCTCATTGGTCCTCAACCTGAAAATAAGGTGGGAATTCCATGGAGAAGGGTACAAATTATGGAAGTTGCTGCTCCCTGTGGCTGGTTAGCTCTGGCTGGCACAACCCCACAGGTCAGCATCTCACGGCAGGGATGTCCTCCTCTCCTTCTCATCTCCCAGCCCTCTCAAGCTGGGCTGTATCTTCCTCTGAAGAGCAGCTACAAGGAAGACTCTTTTCTTTTGCAGAGGGAAGGAGATCAATGTGCACTTGGAAAGCCATCAGCAGGGCCTGCAGCTTGTGAACAGCCTCCCCAATGCACCTTTGAACTCGTTCCTCCTGCATTTGTTTGTCTTGCAGATAAAACTTCACAGCAGTGTTTGGAGAGAAGTCTAATGAGGCACCACTGTTTGCATAACAAAGCAAGGCTTCCTCTTCAGATGTTCAACTCTCATTAGGCATAATTTATATTCCAGCTAATCTTAAGGAAGAGGGTAAAATAGGGAGTCAAAGTTTGTTTTTACATTGTTTGGAGAAATGCATTGTTTGTTTTAAGCCATCGGTTGCAACTGATAGCTAATTTAAATTCAACATAATGATGATTTGTGATGGCTACATGTTGTCCAAGGGGGTGTAGTGTCAGTGACTGACATGGCTTTAGCATTCTTCTGCATTAGTTATTGATTCAAAGGAAAAGACAGAATGGATGGTTTCCCTATTTTCATGCATTTCCACAATGCATGAAAAAACTGTGTATTTGTAAAATACTGAGGGATTTTTCACCCCAGATTCATGTATACTCAATGTAATAATGCACTGAACAACAGGGATTTTTTTTCTTTTAGAGCAGTCCTGGTAGTCACCAACCTGGGACCCTTTGAAAGTCACTAGGTCTCTGCGGAGAGACTCTCAGGATGATAAGGCACACAGCCATTTGTAAAGGCTCCTGAGGGCTGCTGGGAGCCTTGGTGACTGAATGTGGTTTGATGCCTGGAGAGACAACTAGCAGGTTTAGCTGGATGCCTAAATGTCATTACTGGCCAGTGTGTCAGAAACAGTAATTTCTCAGCATTCAGACTTCATTCATGTCATAGGCATATAAAAATTGTCTGATCCTATTGACTCCACCCTGCAATTTTGTCCCTCGGACTACTCTCCCTTGCTCCAGTTGAAGTACCCAATATATTGAGTTTACCTCCTCCAGGTCTATTAGAAGATGAGAAATGACTGATAACATCTGTCCTCTGTGTACTCCTCACTGAGACTTACCCCTTCCTGCAGGTTCACGTTGTAGTGATGGATATTTGAAAACAGCCTTGACTGTACCATGAAAATGATGACCTGAGTTGTGTATTTGGACAGCACTGAGCTGCCCAGACAACAGCTATACAACACAAGAGAGCAGGATTTTTGGAAATTACTTGGGATGTTGGGTGGCTCAGTGTTGAGGTACTCTGCCTCCTGAGGTGGCTGGACATGCTGCCATGTGAAATTCCTCCTGGGCCAGGTGGTGCATTTCCCTGTTGTGTTCTGTAATGCTGAACTCCGGCTGCCCAAGATCCTCGTCTTGTTTGGTTCATCACAAGAATCAATAGAGAATACATTTATTTATTCACTTATTTATTTTATTGTTTTTCAGGAAAAAATGCTGTAAGGGTTATAAGTTTGTTCTTGGACAGTGCATCCCTGAAGGTATGTGATTTCACTGTTCTTACACATCATGTCCCCATGCTTTTGTCTTTCCCCATCTGCCATCTTCTCCACATTGTCTGTTTGGAACAGCAACCTGACAGAAGCACAGGCTTCACTATATCTCATGTATCAGTGTGGGGAGGAGCTGTTTCCCAGAAATTGTTGGGAAAATTAAAAGATCAACAACTTCCAAGAGTGCTGCTTAGCATTCCAAGCCTTGATCCTCCCCTAAGTACACATGGCTGCACAGATCTTGTGCCATGACCTGCTGCTCTGCAGACAGAGGAACATGTTCTGCCCTTGGCTGGGTAGCTGGGAGCACTCTGTGCACCTCTCATGGATGATGCCTTTCCCCTTTTTTCCCTCGGATCTGGTACAGCTGTCCTGACTTGTCAGTGCACAGGGAGATGGTGAGTAGGTGAGTTAGTCCTGCCTGCAATTTCCCATGGGTGTGGCTTCCTTGTCACCAGGGGCCAAGGAAGATGCAGATTTAATCAGGATAGTTCAGTATGCAGTAGTAAAAATGGATCTGATTTGCATGAAACTGGCTCTGAATTTGTTGGACTGCAGGAACTACCAGGCAGGAGCAAATGCCCAGAGATGACATGCCAAAAACCTTTTTTTTACAACGAGTTAAAAAGTTGATCTATGGCAACATATTCTTCTATTTGATGATATGTGGAAAGCCTTGATTTGGTCTGAGAATTTTCCTAGTTTGTGACTGTGATGTTTTGGAAAAAAAGTGACAAATCCACATACTGGAGAATCAGCTGGTTTTGAGTTGCAGTGTCCAACCAAAAGGGATTCTAACTCAAACTCTAATCCTTGTGGGTTTGTTGTGGGTTTGTTGCTGTTGTTGTTTTTAATTTGTGTCTTATTTGCTGCTGGCTAGAAACACTAAAACAAATGGTGGACTGATGGGGGTGGAGACAGAGAGAAAAAAAGAGGAAAACAGCTCATGATGACCCTGTGCCTGGAGGAGCTGGGTAGGGTTTGGGTGAAATTAGTGCTCACACATAATTCCTCATCCCATGGTTTTGCTGTGAGTTTTGTCTCAGCGTGTGTGATATGGGTGACAGCTCCAGTGTGAGACAGACACTTGGAAGAGGCAGCTGTGTGTGTTGGAGGCAGAATTCCTGAATCCTTTCAGGGTGGAAAGAAGCCAGGACTCTACATTCTGGCCTCCAGCTTTCCTATGGATTTAAGAATTTTATGTACTGGCTACTCACTGAATATAATGGATACAGCAAGAGAATTAATAGGAGCAAAAATAAAATGAGAGCCATGGCAATTTATTACTTTGGCTTTTAATTCTCATCTCTTGAGATGTTAGGTGATTATGAAAGCAGCTTTTATTATGTGCCCACTGACTTTGTCCAATCCTGTCTTTTAACTGCATTTCAGTAACCTGAGAGTTTCTGCCCCTAATTCAATTCTCTGCTTCTCTCCCTTTGTTTCTCCATTCCCCCTTTTCAGCTTTATCGGTATTTTGCCTGGAACTTCAGAGGCCACAGCAGTTGCTATAACATCCGAGACAATCTCAGGCCCTTGGTGTAAGGGCAAGAAACATGACTCACTGAAGCATTCGTTTCACTTACTCTGTTACAAGACATCACTTGGCTCTTCACACATTGTTTTGGCATAATCTTGACAGAGTAGCTGTATGAAATCCATATCTCCAAACAGACACATAAATGCATTACAGATGTGAGTTTATTAGAGCACATCTGCACCTTTTAATCCAGTACTGGCACATTGAAACTGTGAGAAGTAGTTCCAGCCCTGTCTTCTCTATGATTTAGCAGTGGCTGCAGGGAGGAGGGTTGACAGAGGTATAGATCCTCCCTTTTCCACCCTTTTATAGCTGCCTGGGGAACACACCAATCTCCTTCTGGGACAGCTGTTCCTTAAACAGACTCTTTCCCAAAGGCTTGTGGCTTTGTCCACGTCCCTCTGTGGTTTTCGTCCTGTTATTTTTCATCTGCCCTTGAAAAGTAACAGAAATCAGTGTAGTACAGTATGAGTCTCTGCCTCCAGTTTCTGCATTTCGTCTGTTTTGTGCTCACCTTGCCACTGTGGCTTCCAGCTGCAGGACCAGGGATACTCAGGAAACATTGAGTGGAGTTACTTGTGTGTCTGATTCTCTCCATAGCATCTCTTCCTGCTCCACCTGTTCAGCAAAGGGGATAAAAAGAACAGCACCTCACCTTTTTCTCCTGTGTGATCTCCTTTTTCTTTGCTTTGGAGACTCACTGCTCCAGCCAAGTCCAGTCTTGGGTCCTGTCCCATGGTGTCAGAGTGAAGAAGGGACAGATGCAGTATCGAGTAGTTTATTTTGGAGGCCACCCTTCCTAATGCTGATTTGTTTCCTGAGCTGGCTGTGGAAGAATTCAGAGTAAAATACTCTATTACAATCCAACTATAGTCAAATCTGGTCTTTCCTTAGTAATGTTGTTTCAAAAATTTCCTTGGTAAACTTTCCGTGCCGTATTGTCATTTCTGAGTTCATTGAAACTTATACAGAGACATTTGTTATTCTGCTTTGGCTTTTGCATTTTCCTAAAGTCTGGAACAGCCTGATCCTTATTGTATGGTTTTGATTCATCCCTAAACCACATTGCTTAGGCTGGCAAATGAGGAGTTTGAACACAGGAGGGAAATTTTGTCTGCAGTTCTGCAGAGCACGCACAGGTGGTGCAGCAGCTTTTGCCTAGTTTAATCTCAGTTGAGAGAACTGTTTCTAGGGAAGTCATGTTACCTGGGACCAAAGCCCTGGGGATGCAGCTCTGGACCTGGGACCTGCCTACAACCATTGTGTGATTTGGGTTGACTGTGTGGGACCACCAGCAGGGATATTTGTCCTTCCTGGACCCTTCAGCAGTTTTGTGTGAAGATAAATGAGGCAATGGACATGATGGAGCTGTGCTGAGGTGGACACGTTCAAAGACTGGTTACATCAAATTTGGCGACAGATGGATAAAAAGAACTGGCATTGTTTAGTCTAGAAAGAAGGAGGCTGAGGGGAGACATGATAAGAGTTTTTAGGTATGTGAAAACTTGCTGCAGGAGGGAAGGTAAATTGTTCTTTATGGCTGAGGAAAAGAGGACAAAAATAATAGGCCTAAGTGTCTGCAAGGGGAGTTTGGATTAGATATGAGTAAAAAGCTTTCTGTCTGCAAGGATATTTCATCTTGGGACCAGACTACTAGGCAAGCCATATCCATCCCTTAGGGAAAAGGAAAACTAGGAAATGTTTATGCATAGCTACTCCTGCTTGTGATGGGAGATGGCCCCTTCCAGCACTGTTTTTCCTGATTTTGTTGGGGCACATCTATTCACGGAAGCACAGGGAGGCCAGAGGTTGTTTTGCCTCCGCTCTGAATAGCGGAACACGGCATAAGCCAAGTCCCACACCTGAGTGGGTACACTGGGTAAGGAGCAGCTCGTTCACCCCCGTGCTGCACATACCATCCTGTTCTCACTCTGATTTTGTTTCAGTGGAAAACAAAAATTGCAACCATGCCTAGGAAAAATACCAGCAATGCTTTAAAGCCGGGACTATTTAGTAGTGCCAAATGTAATAGGAATTTACAGCCCAGCATCACCTAAAGAGTCCAAACTACCCCTAGACTGAGCAGTGTGAAAGCAAGAGTTATGATTTTCTTTCATGGCTCTGCACTGTTGGACACTGTTTACTGCAGGGGGTCCTAGCATTGCCATTCACCACCACAGCACTGTGGGCAGACTTCAGTTTGGGAAGAAAGAAGGAAAGAAGGGATGTCTGTTATTTAGGAGATGACAAACAGAATGCTTGGCACTATTACAGGAGAATGTCTATTAGAACAGTACATTTTTTTTCTAAGGGGTTCTGGTGCGAGATACAGCATCTTGTTAAGTCTCAATTTGTGCTTTTCCGTATTTTGGCATGCTGTCACTTGTAACCCCAGTGCTAGGCATGTACTCTATATACTTTGTACAGAAAATGTGTTTTCATTTGCTTTACCATCTCTTAGCTCATTTTAATTGTTTGGAACAATCACCATACCCAGAGGTATCTGCTAGTCATTAGGGTGAGTCAATAATGAGTTTTAATTATGTATATGGAAACACAATGCATGCTTTGATGGAGACTTGCTTGAACCTCTTAGATTTTGTTTGGACAGGTTTGGTCTGGGGCATGGATGAGATATTTCTGCTGTGGCCCCCAGTGCCCACTCACTGGATTGTCACGGCCACCTGGATGCTCTCTGCAGGGTGATGTTCTCTGGAATGGTGACAGAAACTGACACTTGCTTTGGTGTAAAACCTCACCTTGGGCAGGCTGTGCCCGAGCTGGTTTTGAGAGCAGATGTCACTCGAGGTCCTGGTGTCTCCTGGCAGATATTCCCCATGGTGCTGCAAAAGCCTCACACCCACAGCTGGGAGCTGTCCTTCACCCCAGCCCTGCCACCAGCACCAGCCAAGGGCCACATCCAGCCCCTGACAGGACAGGGATGTGGGTCAAACCCCACTGTGCTCTGGTGTCCATCCCTGAGGCTTCAGTTCTGCTGCTACACAGCAGTGAAATTAGAAACAGATTTTCCCTCCTTTGGGTTTCAAATAGGGACTTCAGTCTTCTGGGATTTCAATGACATACCCTGATCTGCTCACTGCAGCTGTTAAGAGAGATGAGTTTGTAACAATGCACTGTTTGCCAGAAGGGTTATATCTGGCTTCAAACAATTAACATGTGATGTAATTAACTTTTCCTTGTGATATACTTTCTGCCTGGCTTTGGCAGTTAACATCGTGGTTTTTCACAGTATTCTGCATAGAAATGTTGCTATCAGGCTTAAAAATCTGTTGAAGAAAGCTAAAAGAATGTTTTAGGTAACTTAATATTTCTGTGAAAAGAACTCCTAAAATCTGCCAAATGCAAAAGTGACTCTTGCTTAACAGCTTTAAGAAATAGTCTAACTACTGTAAAGCTGTGAATAGCAATTACAATTTTAATATATTCCTTTGCTTATGTCTCATGAATGTTTTATATCTACCTTCCTTGTGTCCTTAAAAACAATGTAACTGAACTTTATATTAATTAGCAGAGAGGTGAATTGTTTGCAATCTAAGTTACATTCATCTACTGACTTTGGTATTTTTCCTAACCACGTTTTCCTCTCCCTTAGACTACGATGTCTGTGCTGAAGCTCCCTGCGAACAGCAGTGCACAGATAATTTTGGGAGAGTCTTATGCACTTGCTATCCTGGATACCGCTATGATCGGGAGAGGCACAGGAACAGAGAGAAGCCTTACTGCCTGGGTGGGTAGATGAGCATGTTGAGCTCCTCCCTGGTTAATGATTTATCCTGCTCCCTTCAGACTTTTAGGAGTCAGTTTGAATCTGAAATCTTTCTTATTCTCAATATTATCACAGAAGAAATGTGGGAGTTAACTATGTTAAGAATTGAGAGATGTAGATCTCCCTGAAATTATTAGGAGGTATTACCTACAACAAGACTTAAACACCCAAACACTTCGAAGTGTTGGGCTGATGTAATTTTTCCTTTAATTCCTCCTGCTGGTTGTGAGCCATATATACTGAATATTGAAGCATTATCACTAGTCCTAATTACTAAAACTAATCCTTGGGGTTTGACTCAGCCAGTATATAATTCAGGATCATTTACATGTGGTCCTGCCCTCCCTGCATGGTTTGCCATGCCAGGGAGCCAAGGTTTGCAGGACTGAGCTTTGCTTGAGAGCTTTTCAATGCAAGAAGACTTTCAAACAATGTTCACTGATAAAATGCCAGGTGTGTTAATAATTCTAATAGTGCATCTTGCCCAGAGCTCCAGACCAAAGGCTCCAGTTTCAATTGCAATTGTGGTGTTCCAACTACTTGTTTGTTTAACCACAAAATCTCTCTTTACGTCTAAAGGAAGTCTTTTATTGTGTTGGAGGTCTGAAACCTCCAGCTACAGGGCATTTTTAATCTCTGCTTCTCTCCAGATATCGACGAGTGTGCCACGAGCAACGGGACCCTGTGCTCTCAGATCTGTGTCAACACCATGGGCAGCTACAGGTGCGAGTGTCACGAAGGCTACGTCCGGGAGGAGGATGGCAGGACATGCACCAAAGGAGATAAAGGCAGGTGCTAGTGCAGATTAAATGTCCTGGATGCCTAAAGGGTTGGTCTGTCACGAAGAGTAACTGTTCCCAATCCTATACTTGGAGCCGGGGGTCCAAAGCTGGGATGTAGCTGATGCTCCTGGGGTATCCAGGCAGGTCCCTGGGCACCTGAGCACCTGTGGAGCAGCCCTGCCAAACTCTCTCCTGCAATGCACAAGTACACTGGGGGATGTAGAAGGCATCTTCTCCTAGGGAGGTAGAATGGCTGAACAATGAAATTTACCATTACAGCTTCAGTGAGGTCATTCCTGCTGGATCCAGTTGCTAAAAGCCATAGTTGGCTCCAATACCTGCCTGGATTATAACTTTTTGTGGTCCTGAGCTAAGGAGACCCAGGAAAAAATCTTACCAGATGAAGAGCCGTAAAAATTTTCACTGATTTCACCTGTAAATTAAATAATTTCAGTAATTTTAATTTGTATTTACACACCCACATCTGAGATTAGCAAAAGGCCCTGGGTTGGATGGCTAGTGCCCCTTGGCCCTTAGAGGCTCAAAAATGTGTGCTTGGGGATCCAACACATTTTCTAAGCCTTGCTTAAATCAATTTCTAAATTACATTGACCAAGACCAAATGCTGCTGACCTGTAATTATGTCAAATTGTGTGTCCTGTGCCTGAGGTCTTATTTTTTTCTTTCTTCTTCTTTTTTTTTTTTAATGGAATGTAATAATAAATGAGCAAATGTAAGGGCTTGTTCTTGCATCTCACTGTTGGTTCAGAGTGTACACATGTGCTGTGCACAAATTATTTTAAAGGTTTGACCTCATCCTAGTTATTGAATTACAGCATTTAGAATACTACAGAATAAATACTGATATGAAAATTTAAAAAGAAGGGAGGAAGAGAACAGTGGTCTGAAAAAAAAACCCGACAACTTTTGATGAATGGTGAGTTACCACAGGTTCATCAATTAATGCCTGAATGTGGTCTCACGGTGTGATCCAAATCCCACCAGATGGCCAGAGCAATTTATAATTTTCATTTTCATCTGAAAATGTGTAACTGGGGCCACTCCATTAGCTGTAATTCTTCCTTATAGTTTTAATTTTTTTTTTCCTTATCAGAGTGTGTGTGTGCATGTATGTGATAAAGAACCTAGATAATCCCCCTACAAATAGGAGGGGTTTTTAAAATATTCCTCTGGGTAGTTCAAATTTCTTTATGCAGTAATGTCCAAAGCATCCGGGATAACCAACCATTCAAAATATTCAAGGCTTTAGTAATTATTCTACTGTTTGAAATCCACCATTTTTACACTGAATGTACACAGCACATAAAAGTGCCAATTCCAGCAGATAATCTGGAATGAAACACCCACCGTCTCTGCAGACATCTCCCCAGCCAGCTGTGCTAAGTGAAGAAGGATGTTTTCTGGTCAGTTAGCCCGCTGTACTGCACACAGATGTTGGGAATTTTGGGACCCCGGGCGGACGCGACACGAGGAGCCGTGTCCGTGCCCGTTCCCAGGATAGGGCTTGGCCGTGTGCGGAGCGGCTGCAGCGCCCCACCAGCGCCTGCCTTTATCTCCACCCCGCGGCCGGCCCCGGCCCCGCGCCGCGCCCGGCCGGAGCGCCTGCCCAATGAACGCATCGTTCGCTCTTCATCGCAGCCGGAGCATCCACGTTTCATCTTAAAATTTAGTGGGAGAGGCAAAACCACGTTACCGCTCTCCATTTCTAACGAGGGCGCCTGTTTTCCGGGAGATACAGCCGTGTATTGCCCAAAGGATGCGATTCAGACACTTTTTTGGTTCTGTAAGTGGCTGTGATGTGGTCACCATTTTTTCGTCTCTGTAAGTGTCCTGACACCGAGCTTTGGGTTAGTTGGTGGACGCAAGAAGAGAGAGCATTTTTTCTTGCACCCACATTCACATTTGATGGAGACAATGCAGCTACCCACGCAGAAGCAGGCAGATGAAACCATCTCAGCAGGCTGAACCCAGATAATACAACACAGATGATCAGCACAAGAACCCCCATGCAAAGACTGCCCGCAGAAGAGCTCCCACAGAGCTCTCTCCTGGCAGCATCTCCTCCTCCTCTCCCAGCATCAGCAAGGCACGGCCTCCATGCCCATACACAAAGGAAAAACACAGCACTCCCCAAGCAGATCTCTCTGCAATAGGTGCCACAGGGCTCACCAGCATCTCACCAACATTAAAAGGCTCCCATCATGTGTAAGCTAGACTTTGTGTTCTGAGAGCCTCTATGAAATGGGGCTGCTTTAGGCCGCCTTCAAAAAAATTTCAGTTTCCTTGTGAAGGTCTGGGAACAAGTTATGTAAGTGCCTTGCTCAGCGCTGCCCCAGCTGAGCTTGGTACATGACCTCGGTTTCTGCACCATGCGTGGGTGGCTCCATCTAATGGCCTTTTGCCGCTGCTGGCCCGTCCTAGGTGAATTCTGGCTTTATCCACACTTTATTCTGACTTTTCTCATAGTTTGGTCCTGATACAGGGCTGGATGGGGGTAGAGCAAATGTTTGATGGATGACTCCTTCCCTGGGCAAATCATCACCTCTGTCTGGTATGAGTTAGGGGGATTCCACCTCTCTCCTGAGATGCAGCTCATGCTGGCTCATACAAGGATCTTGGACTTCTTCCTCCAACAAGTCAATCCAGCCAGCTTTGCAGAAATCTCGCTGGTATGACATTTCCCAAACATTAGCTGATCCCCCCAGCATTCGTCTCCATGGATTGTTTTATCTGTGCTTGTCAGCCCTGTGTGTCACATCCTTCAGGAAGATAAACTGGGTTCTAAAATGAAACACCAGGCCAAATTCACCACTTCTTAATCTGCATATAATTCCACTGATTCTGGTGGGATTGCATTAGGTTTCCAACAGCAGAGGCTCTGTCAGTTTCTCCACATGACTGTGTGTTGCTTTCAGCAACATTTCCTAACACAATGATAGAACTCATTTGGTGAGATAGCTATAAAAAGAAATCTTTGTTTGGAACAGTAAAAAATCCAGACTTTATTGGTCTTTGAAAAAGAAAGGAAAAAAAAGTTGGTGTTTTTTGGTTGTATTTTTTTTATGGCTCCATATACATCCCTCTGTAACTCCTACACAGGTCCAAAAATGGGCATGTCAAGACACTGGGGTTTTCTAAAAGAAGATGAAAAATTGGAGATGGAGGAAGAACTCTGCAATAACTGACTTGTGGTCAAGAGCAAATTTATTTTACCGAAATGTAAGGTGGTGTCTTCATTACAGCACATCAATTCCCTCTTAAGGAAAAAAAAAGCCCTGCATGGTGAAGATTATTTCAGCTACAAGAGAAAGGTTTATGGGCAAAGAGGTTTTCGAGGGAATTAAAGGCAAAAAATTATTAGCATTAATAATACAGGAGAGAAGAAGGAAAGCAGCATATACTGTGTATTCCAGTACCTTCACAAAAATGCTGGAGCTCCTCTGGGACATCTTGTGGCTAAATAGTTTTGGATCCAGCATAGCTGAAGTTTGGTAAAATTCTATTCTGTGCTGTGTAGAGTCCATTGGAAAACATCAAGTAGTACCATCTGGTCTTAAACCTTGGAGTCATCTGAACACTGCACAGAAAGCTGATCAGGTATCAAACCTGTGCTGGGGAAAGGGCTGGGAAGCTCAAACAGCAGTGTGCTTGCTGCCATAAAAATGGTAAATAATAGGTGTAACATAGGAAGGCTGTTGGAGTGCAGCCATGGGAACAGGCAGTTCATGACTGAGGAAAAAATCCAGGCCTTTGTGCCCCAATTTTCCAATCAGTACTAATAGCTCTCCTAATGCTCCTGGTTATTCCAGCATCCTGCCCTTACATCTCTCTCCTAACTGATTAGCAGATAAACTAGGTTAACTTTTGTCTTCTAAAATCAATATGCCATTATAGGCAATGGAATAAACATACCTTCCCAAATATGTGCATAGGTGGTCTGTAGACAACCATCAGATGGTTGTAGTCTTCCACACTGGACCTTGCAAATATTTAAAATCAAAATATTTTTTTGTATTAGAAGCTTCAAGGTTCATTTCAAAAGATGCAGATGTTTCAAAATCAATACCCATTTCTGAAAAGATGAAGGGCATTTAATCCAAGAGACAAGCGTAACACAGTAACTCAGCATGATGCAGTTGATCCATTTGGAAGACTTTGGAGATTCTCTGGCTTTAACAAGAGCACCTGCAGAGCTTTTCCATTGTGGGACATGCTCTGAAAGGTCAGTGTTCAAGCACGCCCAGCAGCCCTCCCAGGTAACATCATACAAGGCTACACATCATGTGCAAAGCCTCAATAGACTTGATATTTCTCAACAATGTTGAAGTGAAAAAAAATTCTCCTAGAGTTTACCAGTATGTGTCACCCTGTGGTTTGGAAACCAGATTTGTCTTTAAGCAGACATCTGTTACAACAATGCTTGTTTGCTTGCAATGCAGAACTGCTTGACTGTGTATGGTACTGGGAAAAGGACAAAAATAACATTTGCAATATCTCTCACAGTTTGAATAATTTAATGGATTCTTGAAAAGATCCTATTCATGCATAGTATCAACAGATGTGACCCTTCCTCTTGTGTGGATTTAAATCCCTGTCATTAATCTCAATCCCCATCTCTGCACAGGCTAATTCCATCACATGGAGAATAAAACATGATGATAAAGAGCAGTTTGTGCAAAATGAGTGAAATAAGCATATTCTGAGGGATTTTACTGTAATTTATAGCATATGAAAATTTGCCCTTCAGGGGACTGTAAGTCAGTTCAGATCTATGGGGTTAGTCTACCCTAAACAAAAAGATAAAAGAAGGGGTGTGAACTTTTCCAGGTATTAAACAAATGAATTCTCTGGGGACAGTTAACTGGAAACAGCTGCTTTAAAAATGTGCTCAGAGATGTCCCTGCAAAGTTTCTCAGCCTTACATAGAAATTCACAGTCAAGGATTTAATAATGGTAGGATTCCCTTCTCTTTTCACAGTCTGGGGAAATATAACAACCTTCAAGTTGCTTTTGCTATCGCTTTATGAATTTCTTTCCTTTGGATCTTTACATTTATAGTGGAAACTGCTTTCTTTCAGTTGGGCTTCCTGAGAAATCTGAAAATGTGGCAAAACTGGGGACGTGCTGTGCCTCTTGTAAGGAATTCCATCAAATAAAGCAGACAGTTTTACAGCTGAAGCAAAAGGTATGAACACTGATCACTCATGTTTTTACCAGACCTGCGTGTTTTACAGCAACTGAGGTTAATTTCTATGTTTGGAGCTGTCACTGACATGTGGTTCTTGCACATACAAAGAGAAGGGCAATATATTTTAAAATCATGTAGGAATGATATCTCTTCCTTATGCTCTTGTACAATTCGTAAGCAGATTGGTCTCCAAGTTCATGGAGCTGTGTTACCAAACTTGTGGTAACAGAGTCTGACAAACACCCCCATCCCAGGCTGAGCCCAGGTTTCTTGGCAATCTGTGCTGGCCTGAGTTTTTCATTCACTCTGAATGCACAGGATTTTGGAAATGGTCCACCTCTAGAGTAAGCACGTGCAAGACATTTCATAGATGTGGGAACATGATTTTTCATTAATAGGATGCTGGTACAGGATTCTTGCCAAATAGGTGTGGGACTAAACAAAAATATCCCTAGCTTCAAATATGACTTTCCCCTTAAAAAAGAAAAACCCTCAGTCACAAACCTTTTGGTATTTTCTTAACTATTCCCTTGCTAGTAGATAATAATGCATTTAGAAACTTTTCCTGGGATTCAATTGCTCACATATGTAGCTTCCTTTTGCATTTTAGTAGTACAGTAATGAAAGAGTAGTAGTGAGATAATGCAAAGACACAGCCTCAGATTTGGAGAGCCATATGCAGGGATGCAGGTGTAATGCCTTTTCTGGTGGCATCTCCTTTGAACACTAAGGTTCTTTCAAATTGAAGCTTTCTGTAGGAACATTCTCGGCAGATCATGCTGACAGGCTGCAATTATTTCTCCCAGGGAGCTCAACCAATTTCTTTCCATTGTGTCAAAACACAATTTGGTGTATTCAGTCATTGCATTTTATGTTACTCATTTAATATTAGGAAGAAAGAAATATTCCTTATTGAAGTGAAATTTACTGAGGTTGGAGATACTCTTTATCTCCAAAATCTCAAAACATCATGTATTCCTTCTGAATCAGTATGAACACAAACATGTAAGTGACAGAATTTCATGTGTGATGGAAATTCTGTTTTTAAAAAAAAATGGTAGCAGAGAGGTTAAAAAAGGATCCATGCCTTTGAGTGGCTGTTTCTCCAGCTGTTTTCCATGATGCTGAGCAGGCTTACACTGACCTCCAGGGAAGGATCTGGGGGTCACATTGTTGGCCACATTGTTTGCTTGAGAATTGATTGATGGAACTAATGGGAGGTTTTTGTGTCTAACTTCTGCTGTTAGATGCTTGTGTTCAAAACTCATTCCAGGAAAACTCAGACCACTGAGACCTGTCACTGTAGGCATTTGTGTAGTAGCTGTGTCGCAGCTCACTATTGCTTCACAGCTAAATCTTGCCATAGTCTCTAACTTAATTTTTCCCCCTGTATGCCCCTAGTGAGACTTGGTCAACTTGGCATCCTCAGAGGGAGCCCACAGGGTTGTGCTCCACAAAGAAGGAGCTGAAAGAGAAGGTTCCCAATACCCTCAGCAACTTTACCCCAAAGAAAAAAGAGTTTTTGTCTATGCTGAATGAAGACGTGGCCCCATGGTGCTTCTCTGCCCAGGGAGACATCAACCCTCATGTTTCACCAGCCACTTGCCACGGCCAAGTTCTCCTGGGGAGGACATCTCTCAATAGCTGTGGTTAAAGATGTTCTGTTTTACATAGAAAAGTTAATTTCTGTCTGCTAGGGAGATGGTTTATGAAATGAGTCTTCAGTCTTGTGGTTAAGGCTTTCAGATTTTATGACCTTTATTCAAAACTGTGGTTAGCAGAAAAGCCTGTCATCCAATGAGATGCACTGCTCTGATAGACTAGAGGTCTGTGGGCAGCCTAGGTTGATCTAAGACCTTGATGAAAGGAAGAAGAGTGGGAAGGTGAAAAACTGAGGAAAATATATCTGGCATGCTGACACGCATCCAACAATTAAAAGAAGAAAAAAACAGAGTAAGCTTGGTCCTATTGCACAGATGTGTTTAAACATCTTAATTAGAAAGCCATGTTCCACATCACTCCTGACAAGCACTGTCCAATTTTCTAAACCACAGACCTCCTAGAAACTATGCAAAACTCCAAATGCAACATGCAAAACAACACATGGAAGATTTATTTCTAGAACAGCCTTTCTTTAGAATTTACTCTTGCTAATATTTGGATGCACATGGGAAAAACAACCAAAATATTATTTTCCAAGGGCCATTAGGATTTGGAGTTGAAGATGGAGAAAGCCAAGGTTACCCTGGACTAGGATCCTGGTTCAGTTAAAAGGTGAAACAGAAATTAGGCCAGTGAGTATATCCAATAGCTAGGAGGATGTGAGTCAACAACAAAAACACATGGTTTGGCCCAGAGCATGTAACAACCATTTTCTGGCCAGAAGATATCAAAGAGCAGTGAGCTAGACCAGAGCCTGGGTATTTTGGCACTCCTAGTGTGTACTTCCAGTCCAGCTGAGTCAGTGGGGAAGCATGCATAGATGCTTTCACAGCAGCTATGTGATTTCTAACTTACTCAGTTGTTACAACAGCCTGGCTGGCAGGAATAAGTAAATATTTAAGCATCAGAAGAGAATACACTTCCAAATCCACTTCATGATGAATCTTTGCCACTAAATGCACCTTTTTACTCCAGTCTGACCATTTGCAGCATAACCTGAAGAGTATTTATGGCTGGGTCTATGTACTGACATCTATTTGTCAACAGATATAGCTGTAGATCCCCAGAATTAGATATTTACATGCAAGCTAAAAAGAGGGCTTCAATTAATCTGCCACTCAGTTGTGGCCACCCCTAAGGAAAAGCACCCACTGATGACACTGAAAATATTCTCAAAAAAACTACTTTAAAAATATAATACTCTCAGGTAGCCACAGGATTTGACTTTTTGTCTCTGGTTTTGCTTGGCAGCATTGGAACCACAGAGTCCTTGACTGATTTGTGTCATGTAGTGGAAGTTTTGTACCACGGTCCTTGCAAGCCTTTCCTTTGTATCCAGTCAGGAACAGGCGTGTCCTCTGGGCAGGCCACACCTCTAGGAAAAAAACTTTGCTGACCAGAGCCAGCCAGTAGATGTTCCCATGCTGATCCCAGGCCAGTGAGGCCGTGAGAGCCCCCAGATACTGAATTTTGCTCCTCAGCTCCAGGGGTAGGGTGTTGTGTCCCACAGGGTAGCCCTCTGTTCAGCAGCCCCACAGTTTGGTCTGTGCTGCACTGGCTGGGAAGCTGGCTGAGAAAGCTGCAAGGTCACTGGTAAACAAAGCACACATTTTCCCTTGAAAAAGCAGAGATGACAGCTCACCCCAGAGCTATAGGTGTGCTGAGGCCTCATTTTCTGTGTGAAAAGCAAATTCATAGGAGTGAGAATATAAGAAACATCCTCTGGGACTTCTGTGAAAATATGATCTCATCCGGCCACTGATTTCTGCAGGGGTGGAGTGAATATACCAAATTCTTGTTAAACATACATCATGATTCTTAATTTGCCTATAGTGTAGTCATCTGGTCTTTGGAACCGCAATTCTCTCCAAAACGTAACTCACAAATGGCTGATAAATCCTTGTGTTCCTGTCATCACATTTTGAGTTCCAGTCTCAAAATCAAACTGGGGTTTCGGAAATGCCACCAAGAGTTATTCCAGCATTTTCAACCTTTTTTCCTGATTTGTTTTTTTCCTTCAGAACTGTCCTGTGCATTCAACCCCAAACTACAAGCAGCACAGGCTGCCTTTAAGTTGTAATCCTTAAGCAATAACATGTTTGCCAAAGGAAATTTCCCCAGTTCAAGTAGGTACTGCAGGTGCATAACACTGTGGTTTTTCCCCGTGCATTACATTAGGTTTCCAGTAATGGCAGAAGAATGCATGTCAAATAATTACAGAAACAGGTAGGAGTCTTAAGAACAGCCCAGCTCAGAGAATTCCAGATAGCTGATAAAAAACTTTGTCAAATAGCAGGAGTCATCATCTATATTATTCAATGCAGCTCTCACAGGCAAATGCTGCAGAATTCAGCATCAACTTATCCAATGAGCCAAATTCATTCAAGAAGCAACAAAGTTCACCCAGGGGTAGGTCTGCGCTGCTATTGCTGGAATAGTTTTCCAGTTCAATTTGGCAGTGCAAAATCCCCAAGTCTACATGCAGCCACTCACCACTAATAAACTCCTTTTCTCACTGCACACCAGCCTCTTGGCTCCTCCAGGCACCCTTCAGCTGCCTCTTAAGAGACTAAACATTTGCAGAATATTTCTAAATATGTTTAATTATTAAATACATTCAACTGGATAGGTGAATGTTTCATAGATAATTAAACAGGTAATGGATAATGACAGTTTAAACTGTACTATGCAGGTCTGCCTGTATTCTCGCTTACTTTATCTTTGTCTCTCTGTGCAGAGCAGATCCAGACATCTGATGAGTTAAACAGTGTGGTTACTTTCCAGGGCCAGATTCACAAAGGATTTAGGGTTCTCATTAAAACCTATGGAAAGTTAGGGGCTTGTGCAGCAATTCAGAACTTAAATATCTGAGAAAATGTTGCCCTGAGAAAGGCACTAAATGAATAGAGGAAACTTCAAATAAGGAAAAACAGGTTTCCTGAGAAGCAGTAATGAGACTCAAGTTTTTCAGAACTTGTTGCTGTATCTCTGATGAATTTCCTCTGTCCTCTGTTGGATTGGCTTGCAGTATTTCCACAGTGACTTGAAAAGTGGACAGACTCACAGAATAAGAATGTTTTTCTGATTATATCAATCAAGGATATGAATAAACTCATTATATTTCCTGAAATATTTAAATAGCTGTTTGTTCACATGAAAGCTTGAATAAGAGTGTAGTTTTTCTGGCTGAACAATTAAGTCTTATGCAGATTTTTTTTTTTTTGCCTTGGCAGGTTGCTTTGCTGCCAAATAATGCTGCTGATCTTAGCAAGCAAATCACTGGTGAAAAAGTGCTCGCCTCTAATGCATATATCCCTGGCCCCCCAGGCCAGCCTGGCCAACCAGGCCCTCCAGGTAATACCAGAGGGGTGGAAATGTGCAGGACTGTTGTGCAGGAATGTTTAGCACTAAAAAAGAAAACTTCAGTCTGCCAGCGTGATTTCATATTTCATTTCATATCATATGATTTCACATATTTCATATTTTGATTGATACATTATGTTTGCATTTGTGCTAAATTAAAACAAACAAACAAACAAAACTTTATGGGTCTTATGGTCAGCCTCTGCCAACAGTCTGACATCATCCATTGTAATTCCGTGTGTTTCTTGGCATGCAAGCTGTGCTTGTCCTGTATGTGTCAAATTTCTCCCTCTCCCTGGGATATCTCACCTGCTGCAGTTGTCATTTCCTGTATTTTAACTCTGTCTTAAAACACTCTCCATTTCATTTCAGGAATATCTATTGCTTTAGCTCACAGTCAGGATTAGAGGAAAAAATGTGCTTTCAGTTTGTAGGAGTTTGTGCCAAATCTTTTATTTTTCTTTGTCTGATTTTCAAGGATTCATCTGTTGGTTTTATGTTGTATCCCAGATTGAAAGCAATCTGAAAAAGAAAAGTATAACTCCACTCACACCTTCTTTGCTAAGTTATAGATTGAAACACAGTGAAAAACAGAGAAATCCTAAAGCCCGAACTTAATCCAGACACCTCACATCTGGTGGCCAACAATACTCAAAATTTTGCAAATTATGTTGAATGCAGATCTAATTTTGGATCAGCAATAAATCCAAGCATTGTGCTGGATTTCATCAGGATTCTTACAGAGTACTGGCAAATACTCCTTATGAGGATTGATTTACTCCCTCCTGAACTCACCCCATCTTCCCATTTATATCCCCTTTTGCAATCTTGCTTTGTTTTCTGAGTCACTATCTCATTTTCCTGGAGGATGAGTATCTTCAGTCTTCAGTTCTCCATAAGTGCAAGGACAGTATGTTTAGAAGTTCTGCAACAGACTCTGAAGGGTAGAGTGGGTTCTCTGCAATTCCTCCAAGGAATTGAGGAGGCCTGACCCTGCAGGTCTCCCACCTACTGGGTTTCCCCTTGACTGAGCTGTCCGAGGTACTGTAGAAATCTGAAAACCACCTCTAAAAACCCCCTTTAAACCCTTGATCACCTCCTCTGTTGCCCCCCCCGGGAGAGTCCCAGGGAGTCATCACGGAACTTGAGTTGTCTCCTTTTGAAAATCCTAACTGTACATATTCAGTCCTGCTGAATGCTTTTTACCCTCTGCCTTTTATTCTTTATGTTTTTCATGTGCCCTCAGTATGAAGAGAAGTGTTTCCTCCTCTAATCATGAAGCGTTTGAGCTAGGGGCATTTTAATGGTCTTTATTGTCTGTTGTTTCAGGTGCCTGATTTTCTGGTTTATGTTTCTGGCTCAAGTTTCTCTTGAGCTAAACATATGTTTTGTTGCCTGAGTGCTTCCTAAAAAGTAACATGCTCAGCTGAACCAGCAGAAGCTGAAAATTATGTAAAGCAAAATGGAATAAGAGAGCCTTTTTTTCCCCTAACACACTGGCTATTGCACTGGGCAAAAGAGAGGTGCAGCCCCCCACTGGAAAGAGCTTGCTTGTGTCAGTCATGTAGATGCCCATGACCCAAAATTCCCATGAGTTTTCTGAGGCTTTCTTTTTATGAGATGCTCCTAAATGTGATTTGTTCTTCTTCATGTACAAATGAGGCGTTTGTGCTTTTCTTTTCATTCCCAGTCTGTGTCCCTAATCACCTGGCAGACTCAAATTCTTGTTATACACAAGATTTAATTGTTTGATGGTCACCTCTTGTAGCTACTGTGACAAGGGTTAATGTTGTCTCAGATGGCTGCTGATGTGCAGATACAGATAAATTGGTTGTGTTGTTGTGGATTTGGGTGTGTTTAAGTAACCAGCCCACTGCGTCTTTAAAAAAAAGTCATTCCTCATTTCTTGCACTGATGAAGCGTCGTGAAGGCTTTCCCTGGCAGGTAACTTTTGCTTTTGATTTCAGGGGCTCCAGGACCTAAAGGGAGTCAAGGAGCTCCTGGATTACCTGGACCTCCTGGCCAGCCAGGCCCTCGTGGATCAATGGGGCCAATGGGCCCATCTCCAGACATATCACACATTAAGCAGGGCAGACGGGGCCCTGTGGTCAGTATTCCTGTCTCCTGCCGTGCACTGCACAAGTGCCCTTGGCTCCACAGCTTCTCACATCTGTGTGACACTTTCTTTTCTCTTGCAGGGCCCACCTGGCGCCCCAGGGAGAGATGGTAGCAAGGTGAGGAGAGGTGCTAATTTCTACAACATGGGCACATGCACATGTGAAGTGCAGACTTGCTAGAGAGACTCAACATACTTATAGTAACACCCTTTTGCTACCTCATTTCTTTTTTAAGATGAAAGCATCCTGTTTTCCAACTCCTTCATGTCATCTTTCTGCTATTTTGTGTTTGCCATTCCTAAGGTCTCGCAAATAGTCCTGCCAGGCTCTATGCCACACTGAATTATTTTGTTTCTCTGCAGTTCTTTTGGCTTTTCCATGAAGAAATGTTGATGCTTTAGCCTTTTTCATTCATTGTGAATTCTTCATGTTCATTGATTCACTTGTTACTGTCCAGGAGAAATATCAGAAATTCTCCACTCTGTTCCCACTAGAATCAGCAGCAATCTCCTTGCATTCCTCCTTCACTTCCTTTTCATTTTCCAAATAAGCATCAGCTGATGATTCTTGATCTGGGGACAGTAAATTAGGATACAGAAGCAAACTTTTAAAATTTGCTTTAGTCACAGCAAACTAACTGAGGTGGTATTGATTACAGGGGGAGCGAGGAGCACCAGGACCAAAGGGGATACCTGTAAGTATTCCACACAGGAGGAATTTCCACAACAGAGTGATGTTGACTGCTAACCACAGGTCAGCCAAAAGTTAAAGAAAAAAAACTCCTGTGCCAAAATAACAGATAATTTACATACACAGAAAATGTTGTTGGAAACAAACTAATTACCTTTTTTCATCCAAATGTTTTTGCCTACAAATCTCTTCCTCTGCTGAGTGTGCAACCGAAGGCAGTAGGTGATACCCTTAGAAGGCAGAACCATGCAGGGTGCTACTTAGTGCAGTTCAGCCTCTGCTCCCAACAGGAATTTGATCCCTGGAACCTTTTAAAATCCTGCCCCTCACCTCTCTCAGATTTGGGAAACTAGAGGTTTTGAGTTCCAGAGGAAGGAATGAATATTGGTGATCTGTGTTCAGGTGAACTTGTTTAAAAAATCTCTGGGGTCCCTAGCACAGGAAGGACATGGATCTGTTTGAGCAAGTCCAGAGAAGGCCACCAGACTGATCAGAGGGCTGGAGCACCTCTCCTATGAGGAAAGGCTGACAGAGTTGGGATTTTTCAGCCTGGAAAAAAGGCGGCTTCAGGGTGACCTAATGGCATCCCTGAAGGGAATCCACAAGGAAGATGGAGAGGGACTATTCACAAGGGCATGTAGTGACAGGACAAAGGAATGGCTTCAAACTGAAAGAAGGCAGGTTTAAATTAGATATTAGATCTTAGGATATGTTCTGTGAGGGTGGTGAGACACTGGCACAGGTTGCCAAGAGAAGCTTTGGGTGCCCCATCCCTTCAAGTGCTTAAGGCCAAGCAGGATGGGGCTCTGAGCAATCTGGTCTATTGAAAAGTGTCCCTGCCCACGGCAGAAGTGCTGGGACTACATGGTCTTTAAGGTCCCTTCAACCCAAATCACTCTGTGATTCTATTCATTTATGGTATTTTCTCATTGGTGGAGTTAATTTTTAAGAGTGTGACCAGTAGAGTGTGCTCATTATTAACAATTTATTTTACTGTGTGAAGTCAACTAAAAAGAAATAATAATTTTCTAAAATCAGATACTCTCTGCATTGTAATTACCAGTAAATATATTTAGAAAGTGATTAACTGCAGCAAGGTTACCATATTGAAAAGACAAATAATAGCAGTCTTAAAAGAATTTGTTGATTAATCATTCTAAGAATGTAATTTATGTCAGTTTAATAAGCAAGAAGACAAGAAACCAAGATTAATCCCCTCTATTCCCATGAGGTCTGAAGATATTCTTATGAAGCAAAGGAACTGTTAAGTGACAAAAGGACTGAGCATTTTGTAAATGTTAAGCTCTGTCTGCAAAAACATCTGATTCTTTCAAAAATTGTTTCCTGATTAAAGGTGGTTAAAAAACAGACCATTAGCTTTTGGCAATTGATACAAAGCAGAATTTTACTGAACAACCCCTGCAGGAGTAATTCTATCAGCCAGTTTGAAAACTGTAAGAGCAAGGTGGATTGTGATTAATGGCAGTGCCTTGTGACTGCAGGGCCCACCGGGTTCATTTGATTTCCTATTGCTGATGATGGCAGACATCAGAAACGACATCGCTGAGCTGCAAGAGAGAGTGTTTGGACACAGGACTCACTCATCAACAGAAGAGTTTCCATTACCTCAGGAATTCACAAACTATCACGACACAGTAGACTTTGGATCCGGAGAAGACTACAAACCACGGGCAACATCCAGAAACACCAGGATACAGAAGGCAGACCACCCTTAGCTATTCCTGCTGAACAACAAAGCCTCTTTAGAATTCTTCAATATAAAAAAAATGCACTGACAATGTAATATATATATATATATATATATATATCTATGTGTGTGTGTATATATATATATATATGTCTTATTTCCCATTTTTCTTTCTGCTTTTCCTGAACCATGCTGCCTGTACTGTAGCTTTCCTGGTTCATGGTAGCCTCCTTGCAGAAATTCCATACTGCCAAGCCTGCACTGTGCATTGTACAAAAAAAACCTTCTTAGCATATAGTATGATTAAGGCATGCTCTAGCTAATAACACAGACCACAGCATTCCATCTGCCTACTTTGCATTCTATGTCCAAATGACCCAGTACACAAATTTTGCCAGGGACAAAGGATTAGCTGAACATCATCCTCAAATTATGTTGATAGTGAACACTTTGGTCCACAGTTACTTTATGAATGCAAATAAATTATACCACTAAACTCAAGTCTCCAGCTACTGTCCCCAGGCTTAGGACAGTGTGAGAAGTGGACCCCTGTTTCACAGCAGAGGCCATCTGTAAGTGAGACATGCCTTCTACTATGCCTCATCAAGGCAGAAAAAGGCAAAAAAAAGTTTTTTGGGTTTAACAAGGGGTTAAACAAGGGTGCTGCTGCTTGATCAGTAAATTATTTAGCTTTGTGTTGCTAGAGTATTGTTCAAAGACAGTCAAAAGATGTGTGTGTCATAAATTGCTTTGAGACACACACAAACACTACTTTTTCTTTACCATTGCCCCTCTGCTCAGTGTGAAGGCCAGTTAGCTTTCTCAACAGATTTGTGTTGGATACATTACACAAAGATAATCAAGATAAAGGGGATGTTTAAAGCAGGAAACCAAATCAAAAGTGAATCAGGCAGGCTTATTGGCAGGAACGAAATATATCCCAGCCTTGCAGAAAGAGTCAGGTTCTGACCTCCTGCAGGTGCATGTCTTCCCTGGTGAGATTCTGAAGTCTGAGTGAAATCAAGACCAGAGAAAGGCCTCATGTTTGCAAGGAGCTTCCACCTGTTTTGTTCCTCTGCTGCATGAGACCAACCTAAATGGCTTTCACCAGGCTGGAACACAGAGTGGCAGTGTGTTTGGCTGGGTGTAGGAGGAGTGTGAGCATGTGCAGGAGTGCACATGACAAAACATTTCAACTGGTACGAGGATGGCTAAGGTGAGGTACTGCACATGGGATTCTATACTTGTGAATGGGGATAAAAGGGAGTGCCCTTTATTTACACTGGAAAATTGGATGCACAAGTTATACCATACCTCATGGATGAAGTATGTTGCCATTTCTTTTGGATTACTACAGCTGCTGAGGACTTTGCCATGCTTTCAATATAAAGAAGTATATTAAGCACAAAATTTCAATGTTGTATCTGTGTAGCTGCTACTTCTACAGTATGTTTAGTGTTTGGTAGTGTCCATATCACAAATGCAAAGAGAAAGTTGTTACTTTGCCATGTTTTTCAGGGCTTGCATGTTCTAGTAGAATAAATACAGGTAAAAAATGTAAGAAGGGCCTTTTCAGACTATGTAAAGGTTTGGATTCCATTCCATATTCTCTGGGCTGAAAGACAGTTGGTGTAATCCTGACAGCATCAGTACAGGTCACGCTGCATAAACAGCTGTCTGTCTAGACTTTTCCATAACTTCTGTGTACTGTCTTAAGAGGATGTGTTCATTCCTGTAGCCATTTCCCAACGTCTCACTGCCACTAAGCCACAAGCCAGGACATTAGCTTTTAAGAACACTGAGTATTCTGTATTTCTTTTCACATTATATCTGTATCACTATTTACAAAGCAATGCCTAAGTCGTGGGGATAGCTGAAAAAAAATCTAGAAATCTAACCCTGTGGTCCTTGGGCTTCTCCTCTGTCTGGGAGGAGTTCTGCCAGCAGCTGCAGATCCAAGCAATCTTGTGAATCACATAATAAGGGAGACTTGACGAAGGTACCTGTGTCCAAAAGAGGGATGGTCTTATATGCAGCAGGCTGGAAAAAACCTGAAAGATAGCATGAACTGAGGCATTTGTGTCTTATTTTCTTAATTTCAAGCAGGCAACTAAGTATAAATTACATCATTTATGAATATGCAATTTTAATTAAGTTGGTTACATGTCAAATGTTGTAATCTAGCAAATTATGGAGCCCTTGCATGTTTACCACTGCACCCTGCTGGATCAGGCTGGCTCCCACTAGAGAATTAGTAGCTGCAGGTTTTTGACCATCAGATACTGAATGATCTAACTTTTGTTAGATGAGTCACTTCCTACATACAAACTAAATACTAATGCTCACTGCCCACAAGGTGATGTATTCTAAAAAAGGCACTTATTTTAGTTCTAAGTTCTGCTTTTCTGAATAGAGGCACATACCCAATGAGAAGTTCCCACAGTTTGACCATCAAATTTCAGGGAGAGGTGACAACTGCCCTGCTGTGTAAAAGTGCCTGGGGAAGAGCTATTCTGAGACTGGACCAGAAAAGCAGATAAAATACATATTTTGCTGTAAGTACGGCAAGTTTTCCTATAGATTCATGAATATAAACATAGCACATGCTTACACGCCTTTCTGAATGGAAACCTCAATGACTTCCCTTTCTGGAGCTGGCATCATTGGCTTTCACAGTATATAAAAAAAGAAAGGTGACAGAATTTGTTCCTTGGGTTTACCCTTGTCATTGCCCTCCTCTGCACAGATTTCCTGCCTCAAAACTGTTTGAGTCCCAGCACCAAGGAGGGAACACTATGGCAAAGACCACCCGGCATGACATTCCTGCAGCAGGGAGAGTCCCTCTGGGCACAGCTGGCTGGGAAGGGCCAGCCTTCAATCCACATCCAGCTGAGATCTCTGCATGGAACTTTCTCATTTCTGATTACCTGTGTGGTCACTCATAATACATTGTATCAGCAACATTTCGTTCAGATTTTGGGGTAAACACAAAAAGGTTCAGAAAAGTGTAATTTTCTTCAGCACACCAAATGTTTCATAAAGACAGAGCAGAGGAATCATTTCCAATCTTAAGTTTTGTTAGTGGTAGCCACAGAAGTCATTACCTTGCAAATTATTTATTACTCTGTGGCTCCAAAAATAACAAACTCTCACAAGAATCCAAAACAAGAAAGTAGAAACTTCTACACTCATGGCTAGTCTCATTACCAGGCTTATGCACATGACAACTTTGTTTCATATAAATGGTATGTATAATTTTATTAGAAAGAAATATTATTTTGATGTTAAGACATCAAATTATAAGCAGAAGGATAATAAAGAATTTGTTATTTTATTAATATTAGAAATATATTTAATGGGAACATTTGCAAGAGTGTGTAGTGATAAGAAAATTCTGATTGTTAATGGGTTTAACAAAATCATGAATCTTGAAAAATGTTTTCTTTCAATACTGTGCCAAGTACATAAAGATTTAGTCCTTCTTGCAAAGCTGTAGTTCTGATACACAAGAATTCCTATATAGGCAGGCTAAATAAGAAAAGGAGAGGAAAATGGATTGTAAATGGAATTAGGGTGGTGCCTGGAGTTACTGTTAGCATCGCAGCTTGCATAGCCTTCTGCCTAGAAGTATTTCAGAGTTAATGTACCAAGTCCCAGCGCAGCAACAAAAGGTGGGGATGGGGTCCAATTCTCTGTTAATTTCACACTTTTAAAAATCCATGTTTGTTCCTTTTACACATTCCAATAACTATACTGTTCACTTTATTTATATATAAAATACTAAAATGTGTATAAGATGACTGTGATTTTATGATGTATTCATAATAACAAAGATATTTTTTCTTACATTGTTGGTAGCTGTTTTTTTATTACACTTTGCCCTTTCTCTGCAACTGGAAGAAACGGGTGGCAGGAAATCTCCTTACACTGCCTTCTAGCACTTTTCTTGGAGCTGAAAAATACTGTCATAGTTCTTCACCTCTGGGACACGAGCTTTTGCAAGCTGGCGTGGGTTTCAGTCTTTGGGGAATAAAGCACGCAGCCACCCCCGCCCTGTGGATGGTTGGTGGCTCCTGTGCCACATCAGGGCTACACGAGGCTGGATCCAGCACCGCAGCTCCTGCACAGCCCGGGGACGCGGCACGGCGCTCCGGAGCTCTCCGGCATCCCGCCACCGCTAACGGGGAAATACCCGATACGCGGGAAAATGTGCAAACAAAGTAAAACGAAAAGTATCTATAAATCACAGTGAAACACGAGGGGGGGAAAAGGGAAAAAAAAAAAAAAAAAAGAGAAAAAGTTGTAATAATCATAGTAACAACCGTCTTCAGTTTTAGAAAGTAGATAGTGGAAGCAAAGTGTTAAAGACCAAAAACTATAGTTAGCAGATCTAGGAATGAACAGGTAGACAAAGGAGTTCCCGGTTGTACTGAGGCTCCTGCTAGTAGTACTGTTCCGTGACAGCATGAGCCTAACAGAACAGAACTGCCAAGAATTCGTGGAAAGCAGGATCTCAGTTACTTGATGTGTGCATTTGGGGAAAGCCAGATGGTAGTCGCACGACACGATGCAGTCCTTTTCCTTTTAACCAACTACACAGCAGTGTATAAAAGTCAGACATTTTAAAATCTGCTTGTTTAATTGGCTTACATCCGATAGTTTTAAAAAGAGCTAACAGAGGACCGCCGGCACCCTGGATCGCCGCGGCGCGGCTCCTTCGCTCCTGCAAGCATCTCCCGGCTCGCCCGGGTCTGCCCCGGCTCCCTGTCCCGGTGAGAGATCCCGGCTCCCTGCCCCGGCTCCCTCTCCCGGCTCCCTGCCCCGGCTCCGTCTCCCGGTTTCCTGTCCCGGTTCCCTGTCCTGGTGAGAGATCCCGGCTCCCCGTCCCGGCTCCCTGTCCCGGTACGCGGCTGCGGCCTGAGCTCCGTGAGGAGCAGCAGCGCCAGCGGGACGAGGGAGGAGATCGTGTCCCAGCATGGAGCGCTGTGTCCAGTTCTGGGCTCCTGAGCGCCAGGGAGACGGGGAGCTCCCGGAGCGGGTCCAACGGAGGGTGGCAAAAGAAATCAAGGGGCTGGAGTGTCTCTTATGAGAAAAGGCTGCGGGAGCTGGGCATGTTCATCCTCCAGAGGAGACTGAGAGGTAACCCCATCCATGTCTGTCAGTGTCTGCAGGGAGGGGTCAGGGGATGGACCAGGCTCTGCTCCGTAGTGCCGAGCGGTAGGACACGGGACAACGGGCCGAAACCGGTGCACAGGAAGTCCCACTTGAGCAAAAGGAAGAACTTCTTTACTCGTTCGGGTGACCGAGCACTGGAACAGATTTCCCGGAGAGGCTGCGGGGTCTCCTTATCCGAGATACTCAAGAACTGCATGAACGCGTTCCTGTGCCGTGTGCTCCAGGACGACCCTGTTCGGGCACGGAGGCTGGACCAGCTGTCCCGCCGTGGAGCCTCTCCAGCCTGACCCGTTCGGGGCGGCGGGACTGCGGCTGTGACTACAGCTCCCAGCGGGCTGCGCGGCGCCCGGGCGCTGCCGGGAGGCGGCGGCAGCGGAGGCCGGGCGCTCGGTCGGCGGGATGCGGCTGTCGGTGGCGGCCGCCATCTCGCATGGCCGCGTCTACCGGCGCCTCGGGCTCAGCCCGCGGTCGCGCCTGGACCTGCTGCGGAATCTTGTTACAGCGCTGGTGCGCCATGAGCGCATCGAGACGCCCTGGGCGCGGGCCGACGAGATGCGCGGCTACGCCGAGCGGGTGAGCGGCGGCACCGCGCCGGGCCGGGCCGGGCCGCGCCGGGCCGGGCCGGGCCGGGGGGCGGCGGGCGGCCGAGGCACCCTGACCCACCGCCTCCTTCCTCACCCGCCGCCTCTGTCCTGACCCACCGCCTCCTTCCTCCCCACAGCTCATCGACTACGCCAAGCGGGGGGACAAGGACGAGCGCGCCATGCGCATGGCGGATTTCTGGCTGACCGTAAGTAGCCCCCAGCCCCGCATCGGTCCCGGCCCGCCGCGGAGCCGGGGCTGAGCGTGCCGCCCCGCAGGAGAAGGACCTCATCCACAAGCTGTTCAAGGTGCTGGCGCCCCGCTTCCAGCCGCACGCCGGCAGCTACACGCGGCTGCTGCAGATCCCCAACCGGGACGGGCTGGACCGCGCTAAGATGGCGGTGATCGAGCTGAAGGGGAACCCGCTGCCGCCGCTCGTCCGCCCGCGCCGCGACTCCGACAGGACCCTGCTGAACCAGCTGCTCAAGGGCTACCGGCAGGACGCGCAGCGGGCCCGCGGCACCCCCGTCTAGGGCCCCCCCGTGCCCCAGGGAAGGGATGGTGTGTGAGGCAGGCAGGAGGGCTGGAGGGAGAGGGAAGTTGCCATGGAGAGGGCTGCTGAGGGTCACTACTTGCTTCCTCTGGTTTGAAGATGACACTCAGCAGGAGAAGGAAATCAAGCTAGGAGCCATGATGATTGGTATTTTCTGTGTAAATAAACTTTGTTCAGAAAGTCGGTTTGCTAGTATTTGAGTTGTGTTCAGAGAATCATTTAGGGCAGAAAAGACGTCTGAAGTTTTCAAATCCAGCCTATGACCAAACACCACCGTGTCAACCAGACTATGGCACTAAGTGCCATATCCAGTCTTAATTTTAATGTCTCCAGGTGTGATTGGAACAGTGTCTCCATCACATCCTGGGCACCTCCTTCGTGTCTATTCACCCCTTCTGTGAAGAAATTCTTAATGTCCTACATGAACCTCCCCTGACTCGGCATAATTCCTGTGCTTGTAAGCTAATAGTTTATTCCAGAAAAATGGATTTGCTAACCATGTGTTCTAGGAGCCAGTGTTCAGCATTTCAAGGTGGGAAGTTTGGTGAGAAATAAGATACTTCTGCTGTTTAATAAGCACTGAATGCAAATAGGATGGTAACACTGAGCTGAGTGCTATAAAGAGACACCAAAAGAAATTTGTCTTATAAGGTGGTAACAAAGGCGTGAGTCATAGTAATCCAGCATGAGCTTGACAGGCACCCCAGCTTCCGAGGCAGGATTGCAGGACATCTCTATTACTCTATTGGAACAAAAAGGAGAGTAGCAGAACTTTTTCAGTGATATAACTACTGATCAATAAGAATCTTAATTTGTTAGCTTTGTCTTTAATTTCAGGCACGGCTAGTACTTGAAAGTCCTAGCTGTAACTTTGAAGTGAAAAAAAAACCAAAACAAAACTCAAACATAAAATCACAGGATGGAATACCCAATTGGAAAGGACTTCAATAACACCTGGCCCAACCTTTCTTGGCAAAACACAGTGGAACCAGTGTGGCTTCCTGAACTCTGTTGCATTTCTTCCTCCCAAGTTTCACAAATTTAAGAGATTTATACAAGTGACCCTGTGTAGCAAGCTAATTGTATGGAAAGACAACCCCCATTATATATTGTCTCCTTGAGACACTTACCTCACATAGTACCAGTTCTATTTTAATAAACACGAGTGAGAAATTAAGGATGGGTGGTACTGCTTAAGGAAGAAGAAAAAACAGTCAAACTGCTACAAGGTCAGTCAGACAGACTTTAATCTTTTTGTTTCTAACAACCTTGAAAGTGTTGTCTTTGCAGTTGACTGTATTCAAATAGATATTTTCTGAACCAAACTGCTGCACAACTTCCACATGATTAAAAGTCCATGCTGAGGCTTTAACAAAATACAAAAATTCCTTTAAAAAAACATTTAATGAGGGAAAGCAAGTCACACTCCCATTTGTTTGACCTTAAGTTATCTTGAGTATTACTAAAGTGCAAAAAAGCTAGAAGCTTCTAAGCTAAATTGGGGGAAATCCTTGATATGTGGGGGGTTTTGTGCACAAATAATTTTTTTGGAGTGTCTGTGTGAACATTAGGGCAGTAACAAAGTGTTCATAATCTCACAAACACTGTGTAGTCCTTCTCAATCCAGTGCTACTATATGTCCCTGAACATTTTTATAAGATTGTGGAAGCGTCTGCCATGAGGGTGGTTGTCCTGCCAGTCTGTCTTGTACTCGGCTGGGTCAGGCTTTCAGCTGCCTGCAGAGGAAAACAAAGGGGAAATTCACAGTTAGTGTGGGAAATCTGTCCTCATTATTCCCTTGTGTCCTGGCTGCCAGGGTCAGGCTGCTTCCATCGCCCTTATAACCACACACAGGTTCAGTGGTCACTTCCATGTCCTGTCCTCCTCCACCTCTGGAGCCGGGATGCCCACCTGACTGCAGCTGTGAGACTCTGGTACCAGTCATTGATCTCTTGTTGGTTGCTGGACATCAACAGCAGTTTCTTGTGTGGAAAAGAAAGCTGAAAAACAAGCAGAATTTGTGGCATTCCTTGCCAAGGCAGCAGCTGCAGTAAAAGGAAAATCATCGCCACTGAATTCAGTCCCTGCATGCTGATTTTTACCCTCTTTCTTCCCCCACAGAAAAATTTAGTCTTAATATTGAGTGAAGCCAGAGACTGTACAGTACAGAACAAGTGCCAGTCTTGTCCATTGTTTCCAGTCAAAGTTGACAGCTCATTCTGATCTGTTTGGAGGTGAGCAATTAGAATTCTCGGCAGCTCATCTAGTTTCCACCATATTCCATGTCCCTAGGGCTCCTTCCATTACCATCATCTACAGGTCACAGCTTGCTCAGAGTTCTTTGTCGTAGCTCACAAGAAAAGAGCTAACACAGCCCCAGGTGCAACCTTGGAAGAGCTGACTTTTAAACCCCTGCAGAGGGGGGGTTGCAGAGATTGGTCCCTGTCAGGGAATCTGCAGCCTTCAGGGAGCTGGATGCACAACATCTGTTGCGATAACATCCACATCTTTTTCATTCTCTATTTTTCTATGTGTTGAGTCTGTAATCAGTGTAATTCACTGTCACACAAATGGGGGGCTGTCCCCCGGACCTGTAGCATGATGAGGGCTCTGATGAGGGCATGTCAGAGTCCTGGTGGAGCCTCCTCACCTGAGCTAAGTGAAGCAACCAGCAGCCTGTAACCCCAGAGTGTGCAGGAGTCTCCATTCCACGAAAGGAGACCTACCTGCATCACTCAAGAAGGGAAGGGTTGTCCTAACTCAGACTTGCTCACTGTATTTTTGTCACCACTGTCATCAACTCGGTCCCTCTGCTGCTGAGACAGCTGGAGACCTGCTTACAGGGCTGACTCCACTGGCACTTCTGCCTGGCACAGGTGGGAAGACTTACACTGAGGAGCCCTCCCTGGCTCCACGTGTGGCCAAACACTTTATCCACTGAGCACTGGTGGAGCGGGTAGACAGCCTGGCAGGACAGTTTGTTGGAGTTCAGCAGGTGCAGCGGGTGGCAGGGCTTCGCTGCAATGAGGATATCAGAGAACAGGAAGAACATCCTGCGCTTCAGCTCTTCTCCCTTTGCAGGCACCACCAGAAGCCAGCCTTCCCGGATATACCAGCGCCCTGGGCATGGAGACAGAGACAGCTGTGAGAGCTGAGGGAGGGCAGGCAGGAGTAAAAAGGATGTAATGAGACAAACAGGAATACGGGGTGAGCCGCCCTTGATAGCTGCCGTGTCCTACATCAATTCCAGCCACTAGAAGGCACTGGATGTCAGCTGGGTCCGGCCCACCAGCGCTGATAGCGCCCGTGCAGAAGCAGAAACCAGCTCAAAACATTTAGTATATGAGGAGCTGCTGAAGTTGATATAAATCTACTATTTTAACTAAGAGTATATTATCATATGCAAGTCTGTTTAAAGTGTGATCAGAACAAAAACACGGTTTGAGAACCGTATGCATACCTTTAAATTAACATAAGCCTTCAGAAAACACAACATAAACTATCTCAAATTGTGTTACCCACTCGTTTGTCATTAGTGGTATAAGAGAAAGTAACTTCAGGTTTGAAAACTTTTCATATTTTCCTTGTTTTGTGTGTGATAATAAAATAAATAAGCTCAAAAAACCTCCCCAAAGCAAAACAAAACCATATTTCACAGATCATCTAACTATATACAGACCTACAGTAGCAAGAAAATACCAATTGCAGATTACTGTTCTAAAGAGAAGGCATGAAAGGAGATAGAAAATGAGGAAGGTCTGCATAGGCAACCTTATCAACCTCTCTTGCAAAACAGAGCCCAGTGTCATCCACCTATGAAATTAATTGTGATAAAAAAAGAGCAAAAGAAAGCAGGAGGGAAGTAATGAAAATAATTTGATAAACCTAGCTGTAAGCAGCAATTAAAAATTAATAATAATGAAATAAATAAAATAAAGCAGGACTTCTTACTAAGATTATTGTGGAAGATAGCCATCAACTCATCGGAATTATGAGGACACCTGCCAGGAAGATTATTTATAAAACTGTAAATCCATAACAAGGTATTGCCACCTGATCTTGTTTAGGAAACATCTGCCAGGGAATTTCAGCCACTCTTTCATGCCTTAGCTTCTGCATGAGCTATAAATACCTTTTAGAATAAAAATACAGTGGATTTCATTGTAGATTGTGTCTTATTTGAATGCAACAGTCACAAAACAAAGAAGCAAGTGAATTCCTGCTTAGCTTATTCCACTGGAATCACTCCTCTTACCTGAATAAGAAACTGAGGAAGAGAAGAGTGAGGAATCAATCCAGGTTTAAAAAAACAAATAGGAGGAAAGTGTCAGAAGCATGGGGCTGGGCTGCGAGCTGCTTCCCTCAGGCTATGCTGTGATCAGACTCATAGACATACAATCTGCCCAGACTGTATTGGAAGTCTTGGAATATAGATCCATGCCCAGGTGTACAAGTTCTAGGAAGTTGTTGTGAAAGAAGGGCAAGAAAATATCCCAGGGGAAGCTCTGGATAACAGAACAATGTGCTCAGTTAAGGAGGCAGTTCTGGCTGATACAGTATTTGTCCTGAATGTGGAAGGCAGCAAGAAAAGCAGGGTTGCCTTAGTGGGAGCAGGATATCTCAGAGACACTGGAAAATGAGAGATACCCCTCTCCAACACTGCCCCTGTGTTCTGAACCCACAGCATTTTGGTTTTAGTCTCATGTTCCTTCCTGGCAATAGGACACAATCTTAACTGTCCTGCAAAAGCTATTTTCTTTCTGGAAAGCTGGCCCAAAACTAGCAAGCGCCAGCTGCCTCTTATATTTGTGCTTCTCATATCCAATGATAACTATGTGACTCCAGCCAATGGAAAACATGACTACAAGAATTCTCTGTCCTAGATAATGGAAATGCCTTTACTGACCCTCAACACTTATCCTACTATGTCTAAGAATTTTCAGAGACCAAAATAATCGGTGGACCCAACACTTTGACAATGGCCATCTTTGGTCTAGTTATACTGCTTTGGGGGGTTTGAACTAATGCTTGTTTGTTTGGGGTGTTTGTTAGAACTAATCTTATCAGTTCTAACATTAATCAGGATAACTGATTGACCTTTTTACTTACACACTAGCCCAAGCGTGCCCAGGCACCCCCACACATGCTTCTGCTCAGCATAATCAAAGCATGCCTGTGTTAGC